GGGGTGTATGGTTTTAAAAAAATCTGGTGAAAGATATGGATTCCTCTCGACAAAAGAAAACAATATTGTCTTATGCTCGAAGACAATCCGAATCGAAATGGAGGAGCTGTTATCCCTCTAAGTAAAAAAGTATGCAAAAACGTCATACTTTTTGTGCTTTTTCGTTAAAATCTTTGATATTTCGCATCGGATCGTTTCAGTGCATAAGACATTTCTTTCTTAACTCTTTGAGAGGAGTCGGATGCTGGTCTTAGATTTTAAATGTGATCATTTTGAAATTTTGGCCCTAATTTGGAGTTTTTATTAAATATAATTTCGTTTCCATCTATTTTTAATTGTCACATTATATTACAAAAAGAAATGTCGAGAAGTCTTTTAAACAAACAGCCATCTTTCTTAGATGATTTTTACTTGTAATGAACCGAACAATAAGAGAGCCAGCTTCGGAAACTCTGGGTGGGATAAGCCTTGACATGATTTGCATAAGAAATACTATTTCCTTATATCAATTAGCACTGGTTGGAGTTACATTGTATCTAAAGATATCCATATAAAATAGTTGTGGCATCACAACTACTCTCCATCCCAACATGAAGTTAACTTTGCTACTCGTCAACTTCTATTCTTCAAAAATGCCCATTGCGTTCTGGGAATTACATGTCCTAGCTTTTTTAAATTGGAAGTTTGCGCTTACCTCAAGTGGCAGAATGTAATTTCAACCTCTTTACTATCCTTAATGATATTATTTCAAACAAGATCAGTCCAGCCAGTAGTAATTGAAATTAGGAAATGGAACTTGTCGTTCTGATTAAATCAGGTTTCATCCTACCCAGGATTGCGATGCTGTCTTCAATATTGTTCGGTCCATTGCTAGTTCATATCAATTTGTGGAAGTCAGTTTTGTTTAATAGCCTTCCTGACATTTCATTCAGTGATATAAGGTGACCTTGCTAGTAGAAATTCTAGTTGTGAACAATATTATATTTGATAAAAACTAACTAAATTAGGTTCAAATTTTCAAAATGGTCAGATTAAAAATCCGAAACTAGATTTGGATTCCTCTTAAAAAGTTAAGAAAGGAATATCTTGTGCACGGAAACGATACGAGCGGAAATGGCGAAGATATTGACCGTTCAAAAGTGTATATGGGCCAAAAGCGGCCAAATGTGATCTTTGAATCTTTGAAAGCCAATAACTGCGGTATTTCGATTCGGATCGCCTTCGATCATAAGACATTTTCGTTTTCTTTTGTCAAGACGAATCCAAATCAGTCATCATATTTTTTTTCACCCCACTTTTATCCTTCCCCCTCCCCGCTCGATTACGTAAACCATTTCCGAAAATCACTTTTTTATTTCACACTGGACACTCGTAAAACTTTGTAGGGAGGGTTTTGCAACCTAAAAACTACTAAAACCACATTCACTTTTACCATTTGACAATTTGATCACTCATAACGAAGCTTTAAAGTCGCGAGGTGCGCGAAGTAGCCTCGCGCGAGTCCGGCCTGAGCTGCCATCTGCTGCCAACTGCTGAACATCTAATTCATTCAAATTATTATTTCAAACTCTATCAATCGAAAAGTTCTCTCGTGTTTAGAAGGCTCGTGATTTGTAGTTTGCGAAACATATTCGCTTTTAACGATACTTGCTACAGCGTAAGAGGAGTGGTTGATTCTCACACACAGACAGACTCACGACCAAGACCTCCTCGGGTCCCTTGTTCAGGAGAGCTTCGCTTCGCTCAGCAATAATATATTCATTCTAACCAGAGTTCAATTTTAAATTATATGCCTCATCCCATTTCCCCCTGTTCACCAGACTGTCAAGTTCAACTAAATGAAATATTTTAACAAAACATTCTTAGATTATGTGCTTTTACAAACTATAAGATAGTCCAACCAAATCACATCTCGTATCATCTGCTTCCACGATTCGTCCCTTGACGAAGCTTTTTTTTTTCCGAATGGCCTAGGGACGGCGCCTAACTCGCTCGGCTCTCTGTGTTTGCAGGACGAGGCTGGCCTCGAGTTGCACCAGTTCTGGCCGCTGGTGGAGATCAAGTGCGCGGTGGACCTCAAGTTCTTCCTGTGCTCGCTGTACGCGCCCATCTGCATCCCGGACTACCCGCAGCCGCTGCCCGCGTGCCGCTGGGTGTGCGAGCGCGCCAAGGACGGCTGCCAGCCGCTCATGCAGCAGTACGGCTTCCAGTGGCCCAAGCGCATGAACTGCGACAAGCTGCCCGTGTACGGCGACCCCGACAACCTGTGCATGCAGCCGGACAACCAGCCCGGCCCGGAGATGGGCGACATGCCTGGGCACGGCCGCGGGCCCGGGGCTGGGGGCAGGCACCCCGGCCCCACCAAGAGGCCGCCCTCGGGGGGCAGCCTGTTCCCGACGGCGTCGCCCAAGTGCAAGCCGGGCAAGAACGGCAAGGGTTGCGATCGCGGCGGTGCGAGCCACGGACCCCCAGGACGGGAGTGCGCCTGCAGGTGAGTTAGTTCTCCACGGCGTTCTACCTTTCTCGGACGTTTTTGCCATTTTCACTTATTTCGTCCGGTGTTTTCACTCTTCAGGTGTCGACACCCGCTGGTGCAGCTGGAGCGCAACTCGTCTTGGTACAACCGCAACATCAGCGTGGCCGGCGTGGAGAACTGCGCGTTCCCGTGCCGTAGTGTCTTTTTCTCCCAGGAGGAGAAGGACTTCGCCGAGGTGTGGATCTCGCTGTGGTCTGGTCTGTGCGCACTGTCCACCTTTATGACCATCACGACGTTTCTCATCGACCGACAACGCTTCAAATACCCTGAGAGACCCATTGTCTTCTTGTCTGGCTGCTACCTTATGGTGAGTATGATCTTGAACGCGACCCTCTCTCGCCATTCCAGTGTTGACGTTGAACTTATGCTCTAAAAATACAATTTTTGCTCCTGCAGGTGAGCGTGGGCTTCCTGATCCGCGTGGGTCTTGGCCACGACGAGGTGGCTTGCGAGGGCGGCATGATCCGCTTCAGCGCGCACGCTCACGGGCCGCACAACCAGGGCCAGGGCCCCGTGGCGTGCACCATCGTCTTCCTGCTCGTCTACTACTTCGGCATGGCGTCCTCCGTCTGGTGGGTGGTGCTGACGCTGACCTGGTTCCTGGCCGCGGGTCTCAAGTGGGGCAACGAGGCCATCGCCGGCTACTCGCAGTACTTCCACCTGGCGGCCTGGCTGGTGCCGACGGTCCAGACGGTGGCTGTGCTCGTGATGGCCGCGGTGGACGGGGACCCCGTCGCCGGCATCTGCTACGTGGGCAACCAGAACGCCGACAACCTGCGCGTGTTCGTGCTGGCACCCCTGCTGCTGTACCTGGTGCTGGGACTGTCCTTCTTGATCGGCGGCTTCGTGTCACTCTTCCGCATCAGGAGCGTCATCAAGCAGCAGGGCGGCATGGGCGGCCGCAGCAAGGCCTACAAGCTGGAGAAGCTCATGATCCGCATCGGCATCTTCAGCGTGCTGTACGCCGTGCCCGCCACCATCGTCATCGGCTGCCACCTCTACGAGAGCTCGCTCTTCACGGACTGGATGACGCCGCTGGCGTGCCAGTGCGGTGCGACGCCCGCGACGCCTCAGCGCCCCCTGTACTCGGTGCTCATGCTCAAGTACTTCATGGCGCTGGCGGTGGGCATCACGTCGGGCGTCTGGATCTGGTCCGGCAAGACTCTCGACTCGTGGCGCCGCCTGTGGGCGCGGCTGTGCGGGCGCCGGCCGCTGGGCGGGCCCGGGGGCGCGGGCTGCGGGGGCAGCGTGCTGATCGCCAAGCCCCGCCACCCGCACTCGCACCCCCGCCTGCTGCCCATGCCGCTGCCGCCGCACTCCACGGGCGTGGGGTCCTCGCTGCTGAGCGCGCCCAGCCTGCACGTCAACCCCCACGGCAGCCACGGCGTGGGTCTCGGCCACGACCCCGGTCACGGCGCGCCCAACGTGCAGAGCTCGCTGGAAAATATCCAGTTAGCGATTTCTGAGGCGTTCGCGCCCCGTGAGGCGTTGGGCGTTCACGTGAGGCGTGAAGCGTTTGTCACCACAACAATTTGAATCTGAGAGTTTAGCGTTTATGCCTTTATCTCCTACTTCGCGAGGTTTTCGATTCAAATTTTTGTGGTGACAATACTTGACCACCATTACTCTTTCTATAATTTGAGCCAGTACTCTGAAAAGCGTTAAGCGCTCTTTAACTATGTCACATTCCGAAGTACTGGCTCAAATTATAGAAAGAGTAATGGTGGTCGAGTATTGTCACCACAAAAATTTGAATCGAAAACCTCGCGAAGTAGGAGATAAATGCATAAACGCTAAACGCCTCACCTGAATGCCCAACGCCTCACGCAGCGCGAACGCCTCAAAAATCGCTAACTCGCTAACTGGATATCTTCCAGGGCCACCTCCACCTCCGGGGACCTCTCATACGGGCCCATCTAAGCGCAGCGCGGCCCAATGCAGTGCAGGTGCAGAGTGACGATCCAAGTGTAAACGTGACGCAGAGGGTGAACAGTGCGGGGAACTGAAGAGGAACCGTTGAGAAATTGTGACATGACAGGGACTTCTGGCGGTGTTGCGCCTCCCCATGTACCAATTTTCGGTATCTGTGGAAGATCGAATGATCAACAGTCTCCGTCCAGAGCCCAGTGCGAAAAAATAATTAATTCGACATCGAAACGACGTCGAAACGATGTCGAAATGGTTGAATCGACGTCGAAACGACGTAGTTTCGCTATGAATTTCGCACTGGGAGTGCTCGTCTAACTTATTTGAGAACTTCAGTTCCTCTCACTGTCTCCGAGAGTCAACCTTGAATTCGTATGTGTGTTGTTTGTGTGAATGCGTGTGTGCCTTTGAGTGTTGTGAAATGGAAAAGTCTTTTTACAGCAGTCATGGAACAAGAAGCCATTGTCCGTTTTACTGCCAAAGCATATGCAGTGACTGTGTTTCAGATTTGCCATCCTATTCTAGGTAAACATTTTTTCCAAACATGGAGCTCCCTTCATTATAATGTATTATTATTTTTCAAACGTCATGAAATGGCATAGACTGTGCTAAACAACGTACTGATTAAAGTTTAGCCTTAATCATATAGTCATCCACTGTTTGTGTGTGATGACTTGATCTTCAATATGTACAAATGCATTTTCATAAAATTGTTTTAGTTTGTAGTTTTACTAACTCTTGCATATTGTCTAGAAATGAGATCATGCCAACACTATCCTGAAGAACAGGCAAATTTTGTGTAAAGAACCGTTGATTTTCCTCTTTAGTCCTTTTGTTTTTGTTTCAATGAGTGTATTTTGTACGTTTAAAGAAAAATCTATGTTGCAAGAAGTTTAGAATATGTTCTTTTCTGGTTTGGCACCATTCAATGTTTCCCCAAAACTCGACAGAAAAACCTGAGTAATTATTTAGGCCGTTCCATTTTTAAGGGTCAACTCGCGAATCTTTTGCGAACGCGGTTAAAATGAAACTATATGTCGAGTTCTCTCGCGCCACGCCGCGCCACGCCTACTTTCCAACGATACCACCCAAAATTCTCTGCGGCGTCGGGAACCATGCGCAAGTCACTGTTTTAGAGTTTGGCAACTTTCGCGCCAATTCGCCACCAACATGTTCTTCGTCCTGTTCCGCCACCGCCGCGCGTACCGGGTGATTCAGAGAAGACGCAGGTGCGGGCGGGTTTGCCTATCCTCGACTCGGCGGGCGCACGGTTCCCCTCCTCACCTCTCCCCAGACCTGGACCCGTGCGCCCGCCGAGACGAGGATAGGCAAACCCGCCCGCACCTGCGTCTTCTCTGAATCACCCGGTACGGTGGCGATGCCTCGCCGTCCAGAGACACCCTAGGGTAGGTACTTGATACTCGACAGGTCAAAAGTGATCTATACAGTACGGCACCGGCTGGCCCAAGCAGTGCACGGCCGGAAGAACTTCGTACGAAGGCCGCGGGGAGAACACCACAACCACACACTTGCCGGGGTTGAGCGAGCCACCCCCCGCGAGCAGGCGGCGCGTCAGCAGGGTGACAGCAGGCTGCAGAGCGCGGACCGCGGCAGTCGCCGTGACGCCCGAGGCGCGGAGAACAATATCATCAGCATATTCATCAGCCAAGCAACCAGCCGGCAGCGGCCGGGTAAGAAACCTCTTCTCAAAGATATAGAAGAAGGGGGACAGGACCGCCCCCTGATCCAGACCGACGAAGGAGACCCGGGGGCCCAGGACCTCTCCGTCAAATGCAGCCGACAGGTGGCGCTCGCGAAGCAGGGCCGCCACGTTGTCGATGAGGATCCGCGGCGCGCCTGCCGCAAATAGTTCTTGCACCAGCAGTTCCGGCCGAACAGAGTTATAGGCGCCCTCCACGTCAGCGAAGAAGGCCGCCACAAAGCGCCCCTCCACCCGGGCGTCATACACGGAGGTCAGGAAGGAGCCGACCGAGTCGGCCGTACCCATGCCCTTCCGGAAGCCGCTCTGAGCAGGGTTCAACAACCCCCGCGACTCGGCCCACCATTCCAGGCGCGGCTGGATCATACGCTCAAAGACCTTATACAGGACCGAGGCCAGAGCGATCGGCCGGTACGAGGACGCAGAGTCAGGGTCCTTCCCCGGCTTCTTGATGGGCACCAGCAAAATGCGGCGCCACTCCCTCGGGTGCGTGGCAGTAGACCAGAAGTGGTTGTAGAGGGCCGTAAGGCAGGCGAGGGCGTCCGGGGGGAGATGCCGGAGCATTGCAGCAGTCACCCCGTCCATCCCAGGGGCCGTGTCCTTGGCCCGCCAAATGGCCGACCGCACCGCCGCCACCGTGAAAGGCGGGGAAAAATCCAGTTCATCTTCGGCCCGCGTGGGGCCCTGCGGACAGAACCGCTCCGGGGGTGGTTCCATGCCATCCGGCGAGTACTTGGTCAAGAAGTCCTCCAGCCATTCGCCCCTGGAGGGGTTGGGCTCGGGCTGGTTGCTGTATCGGCGAGCCATGCGCCACAAAACGTGCATGCTGTCCTTGGCGGGGGGGAGGCCAGAGACAAAGTCCCTCCAACCGTCCCGCTTAGCATTCTGAATAACACGGTCAGCGTCCGCAGACACCCGAACAAGGTCCTCGTACAACGCCGGTGTGCGGTCCCGACGAAAAGCGCGCCGAGCTTCAACCCGCCGCTGCACCGCATCAGTGCAGGCCTGGGTCCACCAAGCCTGCGGGACATGTCGCGTCGCACTCGAGCCGGCGTGCCGTCGCCGGAACGTCGCGTCCTCAGCGTCAGAAAGCAACGCCACAAAGGCCTGATACTGACGGAGCCCCACCGGCTGGCGCCACACCCGCGCACCGTGCTGCTCCAGATAATCCTCGTAGGGGGCCCACGACGCGTCCTTGGGGATGGACCAGCGCCGCGTGCTATAGAAGCGCCGAGTAACCACTCCACCGCCCAACCCCGAGCCGAGGCGGACGAGACAAGGAAAGTGATCGCTGCCGTAGGTGTCCTCAAGGACGGACCACTCCGCCTGGAGGCCAAGAGGGGCGGACACGATGGCCAAGTCCACCGCAGTATCCCGTTGGCCGACGCGCCCCTGTCTGGTGCAGGTGCCGTCGTTCAGGAGGACGAAGTCCGAGCCAAGGAGCCAGTCGTAGAGGAGCCGGCCGCGGCCGTCTTCAAGAGAAGGGTCCCAAGCCGGGTGATGGCAGTTGAAATCACCGAGGAGAACGACGGGCCCAGGGAGACCCTGTTCGAGAGCTCGCCAGGCCGCGAAAGGGGCCGCGGCGTCCTGTCGGACATACACCGACGCCACCGTAACAGTAGCACGGCCGACAGCAACAGTGGCAGCAACTAGGTCAACCCCGTACTCCGGGGGTAGCTGGAAATCCAGGGGCCGAAAGACGAGGTCCGAGTGGAGCAGCAGAGCCACCCCCGGGGGCCGAGGGCGGCTAGGATGAAGCAAGTGATATCGCCCGATCCGGCGAAAATGCAGGGGAAAACGTGCCTCTTGCAGCGCACAAACTTGGACCTCTTGGTCAGCCAGGAGCTGAAGCAGCGCCCCAGTGCGCCGCAGGGCCGACGCCGCGTTCCAAGAGAGGGCCCTAAGATCCATGGACAGTAGAGTGAACCAGCAACTTGCGGGAGACGTATTCGGCGTCAGGGGTGAAACCGGCCGGTTCCCGGCGGACCTCCACGAGAAGGAAATTAACCAGAGAGACAAGCGCCGGAAGTAGAGCAGCAAATCCCCCCGCAGCAGTGGGGGTGGGAGGGGACCCATCAGCGCCCACGGCGCCAGCCACGAGCTGAGAATGTGCCTGACAAAGAGAGCAGGTACTGCAGGCCCGCGAGCCGGCACCGGCTCCAGGGGGTGGGACAGGAGTGTCTGCTGAAGAAACAGGGAGGGGCGGGAAAGCCCCCGCACCCCCAGGCGGGTCGGTCGGAAGAACAGGTGCAGCTTTGGCCGCCGCGGCGTACGACAGGTTCTTGGTCGCCATGACAGTCTTGATCTCCTTCTCCCGCCCCCACATTAGTGGTCCTCCTGTGAGAGGTACGCAGAGCAGTCGAGCGGCAGCCAATCACAGCGCTTTGGTGTTCCACGGGCGCGGCCATACCCCAAAATCACCCTGTGCGAGGCTAGGAGCGGCCATAACCTCCCTCGCTCCACCTCGAGTTTTCAGATATTAATTTCTTTCACAATTCTCTTCGCACCGCCGCGAGACATGACTCATTTTAAATGTGAGACTTGCAGGAGCTCATAAATTATATAACTCGCCCGCTTTTAGCCAAAATCTGCTGACAACAACGATTACCAAGCGCGGAGCTGGCGCGCGCTTTCTGCTAGTCCTAGTCTCGCACAGGGGGTCTCCAGCCCCATGGAACACCAGCCGCCAGCTCTGCGTACCTCTCACAGGAGGGCCACTACCCCACATGGGGCAAGACCGATCCGTCGCCGCATGGCTCCCCTTGCAATTCCGGCAGCGGGCTGCGTCCGCAGTGCAGGCCGCCGCCGCCGCGGCGTGATCAGCGCCGCCGCATCGACCGCAGACCTGCTGCGCCCGGCTGCGGCACTGCCACTTCTTGTGTCCAAAAAGCAAACATTTCTCGCACTGCACGACAGGTGGGACATAGACGTGCACCTTGATGCGGAGACCATACAGGACGACATACTCCGGGAGCTCCGTCCCGCAGAAGGTGAGACGCCACGAGCCGGAGTCCACCCACTCCCCGGTTGGACTACGCCGTTTGAGCCGGTCCGCCGAAAGCAGTACACCGAAGTTGGGAATGTGGAAATCCGGGGCGTGGAAGTCCCATGCCTGAACAGAGGGCCAAAGCCCGCGTAGAACGCCGACTCGATTAACCAGCACCGACGGATTATAGCACACCCAGCCAAGCTCTTGGAAGAAATCTCGGGCAACGAAGGCATTAGCTTGTTCAGCGGTAGAGAAGTACAACTTGACCCGACTCTTCCCCCCACGTTGCATGTTGACATACGACACCTTGGCATGAGCGAGCTTGCGGGCGAGACCCACCGGGTCGAACTCACCAGGAGAAGCAGAGTCAGCCCCATCAACAAACACCAGGTAAGGCCCCGGAGCATCCCGGGGGAAGCGGTTTTCCGTCGGGAAGCGACAAGGCCGGGCCAAAACAGAGTCCAATCCGTCGTCCACGCCGCCGGTTGAGGAGGCTGCAGCGGGGGCCGGAGAAGGGCTTCCTGCAGCAGACCTCTTGCTAGGCACCTCGCCGGGCGATTGTTTCTTACGTCTCCGCTTCTTAGACTCGCCGACGGGCGTAAATCCCTCGTCGCTACCCCCGCCCTCATTCTGACTGTCTTGAGACGGCTCGTCGTCATCTTCTTGCATGGCCCACACACAAGTTCAGAAAAGGAGGGGAAGGGAAGGGGAGAGAGCGAGGGAAAGCCGTCCGCACACCACCAGAGCTACACCGGAAGTCTGCTCCATGTACACTTCCCCCTGTGAAAATATTGGAGATTAATAATCTACAAAAGCAAATTGTTGGTACGTTCAAACTCACTTGGTCCACCGCCGCCGCCCGCGGCTGCGCGCTGGTCGACGCATGCGCAGAAGCGCTCTGCCACTGAGAGCCGGCGCGCGGCAGTGCGATTTCAAACATGACGACAATTTGCTTTTAAATATCTCCGAAACAACAAATAACACACTCGCAGATTTTCCATATGCTTTTCCTTGATGAATAAGGAATTTTTCAAACCTGGGTTGGTGGCCGGCAGTGGATAGGGTTTTTGTTGACGTCTGTTTTTAGTGTGAGGTTAGGATACTTTTCAATCTTTTAACTACAAATCTATGGCTTAAAAATACAAAAAAATAACTAACATACGCCAAATTTTGTGACCTTTC